GTGTGGCCCTCATACTCCGTACAAAACAATCTACAACTGCAAAAAATTAAGCCAGAACGATTTAAAGTTTTTTCTGTTATTTTAAGAATTCTCCATTAAAATAAAAAATATCTCCAATAATTTCAATGAGATAAAAACTGTAAGTAATATATTTTAAAATATATAAATGTTACAATAACTTAGCTGTAATGTTTAGAATGAGCTGAATGTTCTGATATATGAATGGTCAAAACAGCTGAGAGTAACAACAACATATTTGTGACTCAGCATTCAGACTTTAAGCAAAATAAAAACACAACAAATGAACTTTGTGGTCCTTAAAACATCTACATGCTCTTGATTGTGACAACTTGCTACTTCACCATGAAGAAATCCAACGCAACACGGACACAGCATGCCCACAAGAAAAGCCTGAGCAACGACTCACGTCCGTCGCCTCATCGTTAGAGTAAGTATCTACAAAAACAGCCAGCCCCTGGAAGTGAGCAGTGTTGGAGAACACAGGCCCTGGAAAAAAACAAGCCGGTCGACACGTCAGTCCGGTCACACACACAAACACACACACTTACATCCATGTCATGGAGGTCATTGCGGAAGGTATCCACAAATAAAGACAGGCCAACAAAGTGATCTTGGTTTCCAAACACAGGGCCTAGGATGGAGCAGAGATGAGGCGAGACATGAGAAGACAAGCAGAGACACTTTGTGGTGAGAGGACACACACATCATGGACACAATGACTTAAGACAAGCTGGAACCGACACGTTTGGATTTACACCGAAGTTTAGAATTTACTGTTCGGTATTATTATGACCCCCCAACACAGAGAGGGGGTCATCCTGGTTTATTTTTATTTTTTCTGTGATTTTTGGTCACCGTAACATGGAAACAGCTGCACTGATCAACATGAAATTTGGAAAGAATGTAGATGAGTTCGACCTCCACGGAGCCAACCAACGGTTTTATGATAGACCCCATATTTGAGGAGGGGGGGCTCCATCTGAAAAGGGGGTATCTGGACATACAAAAATGCTTATAACTCAAAAACTATTCAACATAGGAGCTTCAGATTTAATTATTTGTTTGTTTTTGTTTGTTTGTAGCTCTGATGAAGGGCTATCCATCGGACCCACCAATGAGCAAGCCCCGCCCCCTCCAGACCCCCACCCAAAACAATAAATCCGTTCTGGTGCATTGGGTGCTTTGCGTACACGCGGGGGTCATATATGCTAGCGACGTGAAGGATCTAGTTTTACTATTATTTCGCTTATTTACCTTCGAACATCCAATCAAATTTTGAGAAGAGGAAAAGTTGTTATAATCTAGAAAAACTAGAATTTTTTGTAAAACCTAAAATTTGAACACATTTAAAGAACAGATGCACTTCAGTCAAAGGAATAAGATGATTGTAAAAATACTGGCTCAATTCATTCGTTTAAGAGAATGATAAAAGTTAAATTGTTAAAAAATATGAAATTGTTTCATTTGTAAGAGTTACTGTTTGAAGAGTTGAATTTCTTTTTAGTTTTATTATTTGATTACTACAGTATTGTTAGAATATGGTTTTTTGCAAATAGGAGCAGATATAAGGTTTTTTTTTCTTTGCTACCTTTCATTTTATTTGATTTGTATTGTTTTGTTGTATGTGTTTTTTAAACGAAATGAATAAAGTTAATAAT